CTATAATCCAACAAAATCACTTTTTAGATTAGTTCAAAAGCTATTATATCTTAGAAACTCTTCTTTATCTATATTTATAACATCAAAATTCAAATTTTAGATTTTTTAAAACTAATTTTAAAAGATTTTTATTCTAATTTAATTATTAATTTTACAACAATTGATAAACTAGCTATAAAAAGCAATTTTAGCTTATTAATTCAAACTATAGTAACTAAAAAATCTAAATTTATTATAGATATAATTTTAAACAAAAACTTATATATTACTAAAATAGCAAAAATATTCTTTAAAATACTTCTTAATACAACAAAAAACTGACTTATCAAATTTATTTATACTTTTTTTTATAAAACAAACTACAAACAACTCTTTAATTTATACTATTTTATTTCTTCTTACTCAATTAAAAAATAATTTCAAATTGATATAAACTTTGTCAGACTTTATCTATTTTTATATAATAAATACCAAACTATTAATTATCAAAAATTCTTTTATAATTTATAACTTAAACATATCTACTTAAAAACTTTTATATATATAAATTATATTTTAAATATTTCAAAAAACAATACTTTTACTTTACAAATTCAAAATATCTCCAAATTTTAAATTAATATTACTATAAATATTATCCTTTAAGAATTTACTACAAACTATTATATTCCACTTTTTTGCTTAATCAAACTACAATTAGATATCTAGTTTAAAAAATTTTTATATACTACAAAAAATAATTTAGCAACATCAATGAACAAAAAGTTTACAACTATATCAAATACCAAATAACAACAGCAATTAATAATAAATACAAAAAGCTAATTCTTCAAAAATCTAAACTATCAACTATTTAATTTATTTAAACTATACTACTAAAACAGCAATACAGGGTGTGGGTCCCATAGCTTAGTGGTTAAGCTCTTATACTCTTCACAGTTAAGGTCAACAGTTCAAGTCTGGTTGGAAACAAAATTAAAAAATTTTAGCTTCTGTAACCTAATAAGGAGCCTATAATTAAATGCGAAGCCCTGTAGTTAAGTTTAAGTGCAATACAATGATGGAAATAGGAATTCCTGAAAGGAGACCTAATCATGAAGTACAGGCATTATGCATAACAAGTGGTTGTTACAGAAGGTTATGGTTATAGAAAGATTGCACATATAAGTCCTTTAGGCTAGAGCAGCATCAACATTCTTATACCTTCTAATATAGGCAGTATCAACATCTCTGCACCCAACTTGTGAAGTACTTGCTTAGAAGAATAATTAATGGATTGTGCAAATAAGTCTTAATTAGGATTCAAAAAGAGGATTTGATTGAAAGAGTATTTTGAAAGTAACCAAGACTGACACAGGTCGAATATATGAATAATGGTAAAATAATAGAATGTACCTATATAGTCCTATTAGTTAGCTGATATGCATATTGGGTAATATATCAGTAAACTAACAGTTATCTATATTATAGAAAGATTAAATGTAAATATCGGCTATATAATAATATATCTTTAGTTTCCTATTATTACACTAGCTGCTATGTCTGTAATTTACTAAGAGGGTACTATTTAAACACTCTGATCCTTATACTATACTTAGACAAGTAACATCTGGTTTTCATACAACTAAGTGCTATCTAACTTAACATTTAGCCATTTTCTTTTGTATATCTGTCAAGCTGTTACACATTCCAGAGTATGTTATCTGACTGTAAGGTTCCAGATTATCTTTTTGTTAACTACCTACCTACTTTACAGAACATTAACAAGGCTAGTTCATCCAAACCTCAATATCTACTTCATAGCATATCTCTAATACTTATAGTATATCTCTGCTTTGACCTCAGACTTCCAATCCAGATAGCTTAATAGAACTGTAACTTGTTCTTGGTATATTGAGCTGACCTAATATTCTTTTTCTTCAGTTCAGTTCTAGCAGCCTGATTGGTAGTACCCCTCATTTGATGTTCTTGCCTGTTTAGCTCCTTCACATTGGTATCTATTTTCTAGGTCTAGCCTTTACAGTAGTATTATTAAAGATCTATGTTATTTTTTTACTCGGGTCTTTTTAAATAGGCTCCAGTTTTTTAGTTTTATGAATTTACATAGCCACAAGGACTTATTTTAGGTTTGCACTGCTTGGTACTAGTTTGCATTCCTCTGTGTAACTAAAATTATATGGATGTTCCATAACCTGCCAGTTATGCTAGTGTAATTATAGTTACAGGTATCCTATCCTAACTGATCGACAGAATGCCATTGCTGTAATATCATCTATGTATTACATAAGTGATTATTCAAATTTTTTACTGTCAATAGATTTTGAACTCACAATTTACCACTTAGGGGTTAACAACTTATCTACTTCACTAAGTCATTACACCCAGTATATACTAAATTAATTTCACACTGATCAATAGTTACAGATTTTTTTTTGCTAATTTATACTAATAGAAACATTAATTTTATTAATTTCATTAGAATTATTATCTTCTGAACTACTTTCACTATTACTAAAAAACTCCTCAAGAAATTCTACTATATTTGATTGTTTCAATTTATTAGAAATAGTTTTCTTATATTGTAAGTTGCTAGCAAGAATATTTGCAACTACATTTCTTTTAATTCTTTCTAATTTTATCTTAAATATTTGACACCTTATTACAGTTAACTTACTAACAACACTTCTATAGATATATAGCTCTTTTAATTCACTTTTATAATGTTTAAAGTATTCTAATATTATTTCTTTTGATAACACTATTGCTTTGCAACTAACCTGCATACCAATTGATATTTTATTTGATACTCTTAGCATTATATAAGTATATACAGAAAAACCAAGTAAGTATTATAATAATAACTAATACATTTAAATTCTTTATTAATATTATATTTGAAGTAAAAAGCTTATACTTTACTAAGTAAAAAGCTTATACTTTATTCACTTTAATTAAACTTTTATAAATTTTTAATTATTAATTATTTATATATCAATATAAAATTCTATCAGTAAAATTATTAATAACTTAATAATTTATCTTACTAAAGACTAAAACAAGCTATTTGGATAGTAAAAGTTTCAAGTTACTAATGAACAAGAAAAAATTAACCCTTTGAGTTTAACTATAGTTTTTGTATAAAATATAGCTTTAAACATACCTTCTTATCATCTTACTATTTACCAAAAAAAAATTTTTTTTTGATTACTTATTAAACAAAAAATCTTGATTGTCATTATGTTATCATTTTTTCTTATAAAATAGACTACTTGTAAGTATTAAATATTTATCACTATTAGTAATCAAAATTTTACTTGTGACACTTATACAATTAGTATGTAATTTTGTTCTAAGTTTACTAATAAGTAGTGATAGAATAACTAATAAATTAATTAGTGAACTTAGAACAAAATTAGTAAATACTTCTTACTAATTTTGTGTTAGTTTTGTGTTAAAAATATAACCAGTTCATAACCATTTTAAGTAATATTATTATGTACTTAAAATCTAATTAGCAATAAACAGATTTCTATAAAAAGCAAAAAGAAACTTGTGTTTATCAACTTTCTAAAATATAATAAACCATTTATTTAATTGCCAAAACAAACTAATTGTACTTGTTTATATATGTATAAAATTTCATGTCTTAGTTATATGTAACTTTTCATTTAATTTTAATTTCAAAACTGTACTTAATTTAGTATATTGTACTAAATTTAATACAGCAAACAGATAGCTATTAATAATATATTTAACTAATAGTTACATTACAATCATAGAAGACAATTGTAAAAAGAATATATAACTAACTATTCATATAACTTTAGTTATTGACTAATTTAAGTAGTCTATATGAAGATTCTATACTAATTGTCATAACTGAAAAGTTTCTTATTTAAACACTTAAGTTTTCATATTCGTATACCTACCTATATCTACTAATTACTTTAATCAATACTGATAAAAATATATGAGAATAAGTCAATAGAAATTAAGTAAATTGTTTTTATTAAAATTTTTTTAAAATTTTAAATAACAATAATTTAATAAAACTTAATCAGATTTAATAGAAATTTTTTTAAATGAATTCTACAAATTTGTAGCATTTATTTTAAAAAGTTTTATAAAATTTAATAAAGCATTAGTTATCTTTGTTTAAAGTTTTAAAAAAATTATTTAGAAAAAATATCGGCCTTGATGAGACGTGTCATTTGTGTGTCTTAGGTTTGGTTCAACTAGTCTCAAAACGGTTACGTATCAATTTCCCGATGGCCATTTCACCGCGGGAAAATTATTAACAAAATAATAATAAAATGTCAACTTATTACCCTTTGTGATGTAGGTTAAACGGATTGTTGAGGAAATGACACGAAATCTTAACGATTTCTAGTGATTTAGAATCGTTTCATCAAGGCGGACGCCTTGGTGGTAAACCATTCAAAGCAAATCAAAAGTTACTCGTCTTTGTTTGTGTTAAGACCTCATTTATAGATCATGCCTTTAAGACTATAACAATTGGTGTTATTGAGCTTTTAAATATAAATTATTCAACCTTTTTTATTAGCAATAATCGTTTTGTTTTACTAAATACCAAAATACCCGGTTTAAAATCGCAAAAATTCCATTAGTCGTAAGCTGCTTTCTTTAAAGTCCTAAACTGCATACTATAAATGAGGAACGTGTGTGCATTTGAAATTTTTCTAGCTTGCAATCGAGACCCTCTGCTGTACAATATACCGAGTATTTTATAAGTTTTTAGTTAGGTATTCTGTTTAGGTACCCCGGGCCTTTTAATCAGTGCGATACGGCAGTAGAAAATTATGCAATGACAATATTCTGATAGCATTATGATGTAAATATCAATTATATAATAATTAATAATATATTCAGAGGGTATATTCAGAATCAATATTTAAAGACTTCAGGTCAAATTATCAATTCGTAAAAAAGTCAGGCTTTTTTTTAAAGTTCTTTAATTTTTTTTAGACAAAAAATTTAGTATGGGTAAAATTACTGCTCAAGATTTAAAAGACTATGTCATTAAAGTCGTGATTAACGATCCACACCAAAAACATTTTGACAAGCTTATGGAGGCAATTGGTATATATTAAAAAATGCTTATAAAAAACATATACGCTATGTTATTTTTTGCAAATTATTGAATTTATAAAACATAATGATAATAGGATCGGCTAGAATTGTAATGATTGGTGAAGCGAGTCATGGAACGAGGTTAATATTATTTTGTAAATATTTAAGTGGTTCTTTACTGACTAAAAAAATTGACTTGTTGACAATTTATGATTAGTGAGTTTTATCGTGAGCGTATTTATCTGACTCAGAGATTGATCACCGAGAAGGGGTTTACGGCGGTATATTCTAAACTTATTATTATCATATTTTTTTTTGATTTATGTTACAAAATCTTTTCTTTTTAGGTTTGTGTCGAAGCTGATTATCCAGATTCGATGACCATTAATAGGTAATACAACGATAACAATTATTTGCCAAACGATGATGATAAATTAGAAACCCCTCATATCATTAATAGATATATTAAAAACATCGCTCCGAAAACCATTAAAACGTCCATCGATTCTTTACAAGACTTTAAACGCTTTCCTTTGTGGATGTGGCGTAACGAAGGTATCGTATTGTATTGCATTAATAAAACTTATTCTACATTGACGTGTTTTCAACATCTGATGTGTTTATGCATTCATGAATATTTTATCAGAAATGCTCAATTATATCGATTGGTGTCGTCGATATAATGACAAGTTAGAGGCTGAAGGAAAAGGATATTACGATAAAGTAAGCCAGGATAATAAATTTTTTTTTGTATTCTTCATGAATACGTTTGTCTTTGGTCAATTAATATTATAGGTTTCTTTTTATGGTCTTGATTTATATTCTCTTCATGCGAGTTGCGAAGCTGTAATCGATTACCTTCAAAAAGTTGATCCTGACGCGGCACAAAAAGCGCGTAAAAGGTATTTACGTAAAAATTTATGTAAACCCATTATTGTCAAGGGCTGATATCAGTTTTTTATTTATACGTTAAGATATGGTATTTTCGAACGTTTTGGTAAAGATACGATGACCTATGCCTTCGCAGCTCGTTATGGTTTAGTTGAATCTGCCGAAAAAGAAGTTGTTGCTGTTTTGAAGGATTTGTGTCAAAAAAGGTGTGAATATTTGTTAAAACAATTAAAAGGCTCTGGACCAATTGAAGAATATCAATTCGCTGCTGAGGTTTGTGATAATTGTTTATAAATTACTATTACATTATATGGTCATGATTAATTCTATCTTTGCAGTCGAATTCTCTCGTCGTCAAAGATGCAGAAGAGTATTATCGTCTCATGCTCTTTGAAGATGTTAAATCTTGGAATTTAAGAGATTCACATATGGTTCGAACTTTAAATCAAATATTGGACCACCTAACGAAATGTCGTAATGGTTGTCCTGCCAAAGCAGTCATTTGGGCTCATAACAGGTTTTAAGTTCTTGGTATATTTAAAGTGTGATAACAATTATGGACGAATTAACATTTAAAATTGGGAATTAGTCATTTGGGCGACGCACGAAATACTGACATGGGAATATCCCGTGGTGAAATAAATGTTGGTCAATTAATTCGCGAACAGTTTGGCGATAGCAGTTTTAATGTTGGATTCACAACATACACTGTAATTAAGAATTTTTATCTGTCATCTTGTTGAATAGCGTACTCGTTTTTTTTATCATATTAACACTTTTTCTTGGAATAACTTAGGGAACTGGTAAATTCTTATTTTGTATATAAATATAGCTTGGTTTAATTCTGATTTACTTTTATACTCAAAACATTAGTGACTGCTGCCCATGAATGGTAAGCATTTATTTTAAATGATCTACATGACTTGTTATTTATATAATGGGTAATTTACTACTAGGAATACTCCAGCTGAAGTGATGAAAATTGTCCCAGGAAGGAAGGACTCTTATGAAGGTAATAACAATATCATGCTAACATGAATAAGATTTCATTTTGCCTAATACTCCTCCAATAATATTTACGTTTAGGCTTTTTTCATAATATTGGCGAAGATCTTAAAATTTCAAATTTCCTCATAATCTTTAACAAAATAAATCCTTCCCCTAATCCTGAAGAGTCGAAAAAGGAAATAGTTTCTAAAAATTCAACTGAAAAATTATCTGAACCGTTACTTGAAAGAGCAATTGGTGTAATTTATAGGCCGAATACAGAACGATGGAGTCACTATTTTTCAGCAAAATTATCAAAGCAATTTGATGCAGTTATTCATTTGGATGTGACGAAAGCTATTATGCCGATTGATAAATTTAAAGCGTTTAAAAGGGACGAAGAAGAGAATGTTCCCGGTATGTACATGTGTATTTTAAGGATTATGTTTAAGAATTACTTTTAAGAATTGAGTCATTGGCATGTAATATTTAAAAATCAATTTTCACTTCATTAGATATGTATCCGTTCGCCGTGTAAAATTCATATAAAATTTCGAGAAATCATTTATCAGTGTATTATGTATAGATAGGAAATTCTGTCAATTACATCTATACGAGTTATATTTGCTTTATTAAAATTGTAATTTTGCTTACAAAAAATTATGCCATATGCACTTGTTTGGTGTTACTAATTAGCTCAGCACAATTTATAGTGTAGTACTGGTACGTACATAAATGGATAAATATATATATAATTTGGTTTGCAATTGCTACTAATGCCATTATCCTTGTCTGCCTTGAATTTTTTTTAAGAAGTCTTTAATATTACAATGTTAATTAAACGGTTCGGTAGTTTAATAAATGTTAGAATATGTAAAGTTTTTACTACGATTCAGCTTCATCAAACTAGAATACTCGTATCAAAACATCTAGACATAAAATCATTTTCTAGAAATTACCATAAAGAAAGATCTCAGATCATAAATACCTCCAATGTATTATTTCAAGTTTCCAAACTTACATTTCCTAAAAATTCTTTAAAGCTCTCTAATTCAATTATTTTATCACATCATCGAAAATTTAATGTAACCCGGCCAACACGAGCACCACTCCCAGCGTTACCAGCATTCCTAACATTATTTAAAACCGCTAATGCAGTAATAATAGTTCGTGCATTTAGTAATTTATTTCTTTCAATCCTTCCTTTCGCTCTACGTAAGAATCCGAACACCGGCAGAAGAAGAACCATCCTTTTATTCCTATCAACAGTTTTTCCGTTAACAGGATTTGGAATTTTATTCTTAGCAGGACTAGAACAAGCACCACATACAAATAGATGGAGATTTAGGTTTATGTCATTTCAAGAAGAAAAAGAACTTTGTAATTCGGCATTTTCATTAAATTATAATCAATTCAAGGATAAAATTTTAGGAGATGATAGGATTGAAACTATTTTTGTAAGACATGTTGTGAATAATCTAGTAAAAGGATTAAGCGATGATTTAATGGTATTAAAAACATATAAGTTGGAAGGTTTAAATTATGATAGTAATGTAAAAATAATGGAAAACTCTGAGGTTGAGAAACTGGAACCTTTTGTGGTTTATGTGGTTAATGATGATAGTGTCGTTAATGCTTTTTCATTTGGTGCGGCAAGAAAGATTCTTATCTTTACTGGTAAGTTTAAATATATAAATGTACATTGTCTTTTAAAATAATTTTTTATCTAAAAATTGAAATAATTCATTTTAGGAATGCTAAAGGCAATTAATTATGATGAGGAATTTCTTTCAGTAATTCTGTCTCATGAGATAGGACATATTTTACAGAGACATTCAAGCGAAACACTTGGATTTAATCAAATGATGTATATCTTAACAGGTAAAGTTTTTGTTTATCAATTAAATATTATAGCCCATGATTTTTTAACCTCAAATATATCTCGCTTTCTTTTTATCAATTAAATTAATTAAAAAAAATAGACACGCTTCGTACTTTATTATGGTTCCCATTTTTGGCCGCACTAGGTCCCTTTATTAATGATTACATAGATGTTATGGCGCAAAAGTTAATAGCAGCATATGCAGCAGGGAAATACAATCAAAAGGAAGAAAAAGAAGCAGATTTTGTAGGTTTACAATTAATGGCTTTATCGGGTTATCATCCCAAAAAAGCTGTCGAATTATGGTCTTACTTGGCAATTAATAAAGATCAAGTAGATTTAGAGGACTTACCAGAGTTTTATTTATCACACCCGAGCGAACATACGAGGGCACAATATCTAGAGGAAGTGTTACCCGAAGCCCACAAGATTTATGAGGAGGTAATTAAGTGTGAGGGGAAAGCTATGCCTTTTAATTTTAAAGAAATCACGAATAAACATGATGAAACAGTTCAAAATAGGCAATGGTTCACAATTAAATTGTTTTAAGAAATGACGAGTAGGAATAAACTTAAGTGTATGCAGTTATTAGTATGTGTCATCTGTGTTAATATAAGTTAAAATCGTTGAATATATATTGCCCAATAATTATGACGATACATAAATACAATATTTATTATTTAAATATGTAGCCTATGAATAGGTTATGAATATATGTGACGGTTGAATCTGAAATAAGTTGATGCTAATATTTTGGAAATTTTGATTATGGAATTCTACAATTTTTTGGATATTCTTTTTTTAAAGTTAGATTAGGATTAGGCTAGTGCTGTTAATAAAGCAAATGTGAAATTATATATTGTAATAGAATTTACTTTTTTTTTTTAATAATAGATATTTATTTTTAATTCTATATTATATTTTATAATTTTCCTAATATTTTTACATAGTTTATAGATTATTTTATTAGTTTTAATCGCCTATT